TAGGTTTTGGGGTTATAGGGTTTAGGGTTTTCGTTATTTCGGTGTTGGGTTATGTTCCGTCCTTCTGGGTTTCGGGCTTTAGCCGGGCTTCCTATGCGAAGCTGAGCTTCTCGTGGATGTCTCCCGACCCCAAATTAATGGTCAAGGGTTTAGGTTCAGTTGGCCCACAAACCTAGATGGTCGCGTTCCTTCGAGACAGCCCGCCAGAGCGCAGGGCACGGATCGAGCGAACTTAGGTAGCAAGAAGCAGCGGCATGTACGGCTTAGGTTCGTGAGATAAACAAGACTGTACAAGTTTCCGGTAGACTCGACTCTGCGGCTAACCGTTTTCGGGGCCGAGTCTCTGACGAAAACTAATTCAGAGCGCCATGAACTGCAACCTAGCACTCCGACCGAACTCACCAGACACCAAGCTGGCCTCCCAAAACAAAGCGGCAGTGAAACACCGAGCCCTGAACGACAAGCTTCAAACCCGCCCCAACCCCAAATGAAACGCCCCCCCAAACCATCCCTCTAGTCCACAAAAGACCGAGCCTGCTTGACCTCGATGTGTGGGTTGTGCAGAGTCAGGGCCTGTGGGGAATTCCGAGGCACGGGAGGGAGGCAATCTTAACGCCACGCAGTTTTCCAGGATTTCAATCCAGAGTGTGTCGCAACCTACATACATGTAACAAGTACCATGAACACAGCAGGTGCCTGGACAGCCGTACAAGCATGCCTCCTCTTACCACAACCAACAGTGTCGCCAGTGTCGCTGCCCACCATGGTGTATGTCATCCTTACATAGACAAAGATGCAAATGCCGCTGAGCGTCATCGGCAGCAAACTGTGTCAGTTCACTCAGTTGCCTGCAGCAGAGCCAGACATCAGAGAAGGGGTGAAGCTTCGTTTGCATAAACATACAGAACTGTATTTGCACTTCTGAATATATATATATATATATATGTATATGTATATATATATATATGTTCTTGCATATCTGCATGCATGTATATATATATATACATACATACATACATAAGTACTTACATACATATACATATATGTATATATATATATATAGGTAGAGATGCATACCTCTTTGTGTGTGTATGTATGTATGTACGTATGTACGTATGTATGTATGTATGTATGTATGTATGTATGTATGACTGTACAAACCTGACAACACAAACACGCAAGCGCCTGCCTCAGCCCCATCAAGCTTCATGCTAACGGGGGGGGTCATGAAACCAACTGTCGGAGGTGAAACATGAATATAGAAGTCTTAGTAATTACCAAGATTATTCCTTAAGGGTTCCTAATCATATTCATACTACAAAAGAGCTCAGAACCCTATTCTAACTATGAAGGCCCCTACATTAAACTCTAGGGCGTGAGGTTCAGGGTTGAGGGACACGCGGGATCCACCCTGAACCCAGCCTTGTGATGGCTGCTGCATCGTCAACCATGGAGGAAAGACCGGGTTTCCGTGAGGCCACAGCGATTTCTGGCCAACGGATTTCGGAAAAAGGGCTGTAAGGTTTGATTGTTTGCACCAGTATCCCCACAATCCAACATGCGCACTCATCAAGTTCCACAAGAAAGTCACAAGGATCCCCACAAACAATCACGAATACCCAAATAGAAGCCCTACTTCACACAGGACATAGGCTTACCGGGATCGGGCTTTTCCTAGCAAGACTTGCTGATTTCAGAGCATATGACCAATCGGCTTAGGGGTTCGCTCTCGCCAAATGTATGGACAAGTGTCTACGGGCAGATGCCAGAATCTGATCTGTGTGCCTGCCTGGTTTTCACCAATGGTTTGTCTCAAATCTCTGGACGCTGGGCCTTCCACCAAGAACTTTTGCTGGCAACCCCCTAAAGGAACCCTACGCTGGTCCCAAAACCGTCCCACCAGTGCCTGATGGCAGTGTCAACGGAGGGCTAACGATGAGAGGAAAGCGCCGCGGCTCGAGCCGGCGATACTCGTAGTTGAAGACCTCGCAAAACCAGGGAGGCCAACATGCAGATGCCGTCTGCCTAATCTTCGTCGAGCATGTCAGAAAGGGTACGCTCCTCTCCTCGTGCAAGGCCGAGAAGACAATCGCAGTAGCTTTACGGCAGAGACGTGCGCAGCCTGGTCTGAGATGCGGACATGCACTCTGGTGCCAGTACTCCCGGCATCGAGAACCACAACGTACCCAGACCTCAGCACTACCCTGATTACGACTGTGAAAGGGGCTCAGCGTACTTGCGTTGATCAACAAGTTCGTGCAAATACCAACGTAGCGCAGTAGAGCGAAGTATAGTATAGTTCAGCAACCATGTCTGCAGAAGCACGGTCCTAACGGCAATCATCACACGAATATGAAATTGAAAATTTGGCAACTATTGCCACATCCAGCGATGTAATGTAGGCTACGTATCATCATGGCTCGTCTCCACCGCCCCAATCAGCATCGTCATCACCACCATGATCACAATCGATTCCGCTGATACCACTGCCGTCCCCTTCACCAGCACCATAAATCACCACAACCACTAACTCACTAGTTGATGGCCTTTATGTGCTTGCCCAGCACGGTGCGTCACGCGTATGGCAAAGGACAGTAAAATGGACCCTAAACCCTAAACCCTAAACCCTAAACTCTACTCATTTAATAAAGAAGAAAGGGGCTTGCCGAGTATGTTTGGCTAGCAAGACAGCCCCGAGGTCGGGTCGTGTCAGCGCACAGCTGCGGGTACTTCTTGCAGTTGGGCCCCTGGCAGTTGTTGTAGCCAGCTGTAGTCCCTAAACCCTAAACTTGGCAAATGATGACAAACACGGAGAGGACCTGCAGCATTCAAGCTGTGAGCCCCAAGCCCTGTACTTTCAGCTCTAGGCAAGCCCAAACTCTGTGAACCTCCGTACTGCCGGCCGCCAAGGAAAGCAAGGGGATCCATCCTGTCTAGAACTGGAACATGGGTTGGGGGAGGGGGGAGTTTGAGCTGGCAGCAGTCATGTCCAGTTCATCCTGTCCCCCACCCCCCCACACTGGCACGCCATTTCTCAATCAGTATCCTACAACCCCCCTCATTCAATACAGAGCCCCACCGCTACTCCCAAACCAAAGCAACCACCCGACCATAACCTGGTCCATTCTATACCCCATATCGCAACCTGAACTCGGGTTTTGGCATCCATGTATCTTTCAATTGTATATATTCACCTTCATAGGCAATAAAATACAATCCAAGACAAAGTGGTTGATCACAGTGCGCGTTCCATCCCGCGTTGCTTTTCAGTGTTCTGGATGCAGCCAGTGCTCTTGTTGATGGCATCTGTCACAATCTACAACCGTAAACATGGTCCTTTCATTGCCGTGAAGATTTGATGTGCCCTGCATTGTTGGAAGAAGCTTGTACAACATGTTCAGCAAAATTTCGTTTAAGCACACCTACTCATCGTGTCTTCTGTTTTTGTTTTTCAGACAGATTATGAGGTAGACTTTTTTGGGAGGTACCATGTATGTACATAACATGCGTAACATTCATATATATATATATACACCGGCATACATGGGTATATACGTATATATATATATACAGAGAGAGAGAGAGAGAGTTACATTTATGTAGATCTTTGGATGTTATCCGATACATGTTATATGCATTGCTACGTTATGAAATTACAACGAGATTCGTCAGAACCACCAACCACCCGGAAGTGGACCACTTCGCATGTCCTGTCACCCAAGCAGCCCGCATAGCGTCTGAGGACACATGCAGGGAAGCCTCTGCTTCAACGGCTTAAAATATCAAGCTGCCATTACCAGACAAAAAGCTCTATTCCGAGACAACTCGCTGCAAGAAAGCATGGTCAGGCCAGTTTGGAACTTAGCACCATGTGTTTTGAGCTAAACGCTGACACGAAACCGCAGCAGCCGTGAAGTAGGCCGGATGCGCACACACCTGTCAAGTTCTGGCGTAGAAGTACCTGCAATACAAGGGTGAAGCGCATGTCATGCCTAGCATCGTCCAAAGTATCCAAAAGACCTTTGTCTAATCCCGGCCCTGAACCCCATCAGGCCTTTATACAGCTCCTGTCTCTATCTTGAAAAGTTGCATACAGCAGCAGCATCCATGTCATTTGCAGGACCCGAGACCCTAAACCCTACACACCTGAAGTTTAGGGTTTAGGGTCTAGGGAATCGGAGACAGAATTTTTCCGACTGGCTTACGGTTGGCTTTCGGGTTTTCGGGGAGTTAAACAGCCTCGGGTCTTCATGGAGCCCCAAAACCCCCTGAATTCCCAAAACCCTGAACACCCTACATACCCCATGTACTACCCGCCACCGTGTTTACCGTACCCCTAAATTTTGAAAAACGCAGCTGCCGCTGTGGTGGCGTGCTTATTTCAGTGTATTTTCGCAGTACGCAAATCACAAGGCTGTTTTGTGTTTTGTGTGG